GCATTTTTTTAGAACAACCTTAATTAAAATTTCGAAAGCAGGGTTACTAAAATTATAAATTTTAAGTAAACGATAGGAACTGATGAATATATTTTTTTTTGCAATCTTTTATATATACAGGTATATAAAAAAGATATATATATATATATATATGCAGGTTTGCCTTTATTTTTTAAATAAAGACAAATTTGAGCATTAAAAAATTATGGCATGCAAACAGCTCTAAACAGATTTAATGTCTAAACTTCAATATAATTTTTTTATGTCAATAATATGGTTATGGAAAGATGGTAAATTCATTCCCTTTGAAAATATACCTATAGGAAATAAGAGTCGTCATATTTCAGAGCTTCAAAAATATGCGTTCATTTTCAAATTTCAGGAAAAAAATGTAAGAATGTAAAGAAGTAAATGTAAAGAACCAAAAATGATTTAAAATAAAAAATCCCAAATTTATCTGCGAAACAGGAAAAAATACGAGTCTCATAAAACACATAAACCGAGAGCTAAAAAAATAAAATACATTTACATTTGAAAAAATATAGAATCAATAATTTTCTGCATAATTAATAAATGTATCTCTTTAAATCATTGTTTTAAGACAAGCACATAGATCTTCCAGTCATATATTTCTTAGAAGTGAACGTTTTTTGGGAAAAATTTCTGGTAAATTTGAAGTAATGTGTGGTAGGGGAAATTCTGGTTAAAAAGCATTTTCTTGGTTTAAGAAACCAGAATATTCGGTATTTAAACTATTAATTTTGTAATTTTTCCGTTCATATAGTAATGGTTTACTGGAAATTTTGGATTTAAAGATTATGCTTTCAAAGCCATATTTAAATAATAGTTCTTACTACCACACGTTTTGTAAAAAAAAAAGGGATAAAAACTAAAATGTAAATTTTACTGAATGAATATTTTTATCGCTTGCTCTAAGGCAGGGATGGGCAAACTACGGCCCGCGGTCCAACTGTGGCCCTCTGGAAGATTTTATCCGGCCCACGGATAGAATTTTTATTTGCCGATCAGTGGCAAATATAAACAATATATACATTCATTTTCTTGTCGACTATGTTTAAAATTATTTCTATTTTTCCTTTTTCAACAAAGTACTGATGAAGTTTTTGCGTTCTCTATTTTTGTTCTACAAAACATAAATTGATGGAAATAGTTAGCTCAAACAGCTTCAATTAGTAAAATGTTGAAAGCAGAAGTTCTTTATAGAATAGCTGTAGATTGGCTCTAACTAGCGCTTGTCTCTCTCTAGGAGCTGACTTATGGAATCTAATATAGGTAAATTGCACTTCCCATTTGGCAGACTGCGCATTTTACGCTTCAAAGAGCGGACAATCTAACAATCATCTGAAGCAGTCGTTTCTAAATATTCCAAAGTTTTACAAATCATTACCAAAAGCTAGTTTCCGAAATTTAATATTTCATGCTCAGAAAATCAGTGCATGTTTGCTTAATCTTATATATGTGAGCAAGAGTTTTCAACTATCAACCTTAGAAAAAATCATTTCAGAAGTAGACTAACAGACAAGCATTTAGCCTCGTTCCTTTAAATAAGCACATCTCACTTCCAACCTTAACGTAAGGAACTTTTAAAAATGAAATCGCAATTTCCTTCATCTCACTAAATATTTAAATTAAAACTTGTATATCACCTTTTTTTTTCTATTTTTTGAAGTTTTTACTTGGCCCACCAAACATTTTTTTTCTTGATTTTTGGCCCCTCGACCAAAAAAGTTTGCCCTGCTTTAGAGCATGGCATAAAGACTATTTATTCGCTTAAATTTATTTATGAGTTTTGTATTTTTTCTTTTCTAAATGTGTGGTAATAAGAACTGTAAGTTTGAAAATCAGAATTTTCGATAAACTCTGTTACCATATGAATAGAAAAAAAAGCCAAGTAAATGTTTTAAATACCGTGTATTTTGGTTTTATTAACCAGAATTATGTTGTTGTTTTTTTTACCAGAAATGTCATTATCATACAGTACGGAAATTTTACCAGAATCTTTTTCTTTGTAGAGTGGAGCTTATCTAATCTTATACGTTAATCTTCCGTTAATCAAATCACGTTTCTTTGTAAATTATCTAATTTTTTTTTGACCAACAAATGTCATAAGTTAAAAGCGTGGTGATACTTTAACTGTCACCAACACGATGATCAGAGTTACATATTGAACATTTTAGTTGTAAACTTATATATAGAATACTTAGCTTATACAGAGTATACTTAGCCTATATACAGGGTGGTCCCGAATTCATGGTGCAAACTTTAAGGGTATGTACAGAATCAATACAATCATTTATTGTATAGGAATGTATGGGTGGCGTGGTGAGGCTCAAATACAAAAAATAGGTGTTTATTGAATGCTTCGTTAACAAGTGTAATGTTTACAATAACTGTTCAAAATTGCGTCCACCAGTGGATACAAGCTTGAAAGCATCGGTAGAGTGATTGGCGTACACGTACAAAGATGCAGTTATTCCACGCACACGTACAGCAGCTTCGAATATTCGAGCAACGAGATCTTCATCTGAGTCAAATGGTGTCGCACAAAAAAGATTCTTCAGATTTTTCACATAAAATGAAATCGAGACTCGATAAATCGGGAGTTTGGGGTGGCAAGGGGCTGGTCCACTGTGCACAATCCATCGCGTTCCAAATATGTCAATAAGGTAAGTGCGCAAATCATTTCTGAAGTGGGCTGTCACCCTATAATATTGAAACCACATGTGGTTGCGAATGGTGATTGGAACATCCAGAAGTTGTTCTGGTAACTCCTGTTCCAGAAAAATAAGATAAAATTTGCCATTAATTCACGTCGGTAAAAAGTATAGGACAATAAAAAAGTCGTTGACAATACCGACCCACACATTCACACAGAATCGTTGTTGATACGCGTGTGGTTGCGTTGCATGCGGATTCTCGCTTGCTTACCCATTGGAATTGGGCGCATTTAAGATATCACCCCGTGTAAACGTCACCTCATCTGTAAATAGCATATGAGCTATGAAGTCCGGCTACAGCGCATATTGCTGTACCACCAACTGATAGAAGTTCAGACGATAGCCTGCAGGATTCAAAGCCTGTACTCGCTAAAAATAGAAAGGGTGTAAGAGATTTTCGTTGAAACCCTACTAACGGTCTGATGATTCACAACTATGTGATGAACAACAGCTCTTGCACTTGACTCGGGTTTATCAGCCACAACATTCAAGATGCTTTCTTCCAGGCTTGACATGCGTACCAGCTTCATGTCTTCGTCGGCCAGCTTCATCTCTGCAGACGTGGTACGAACCTGTTTCACGAAGTTGATAATGTCATCGCTGAAAAATTCTGTGTTCCGGTATTTATCGAGAGAAACTGCGCGTGATACATTCGTAGCACAGTTCTGCCGTTACCATTTGTATGGCCGTACATGTAATGTATATCTGCATTTTCCGCATATGTAAAGTCTTCCATCATAGACGTCACCAAAATTGAGAATGGTGCTTTCCTCTACTGACATGAATCTTGTTGAACGGCGGCCAGATATCTACTGCCCTCTCTTGTCAACTTAACCAACAGATAACTCTATTTTTCTTTTTTTTTATTTCCCCTGTTTGCGCCTTATCGCGTCACTTGCACCCATATATTTCCATACAATAAATTAGTGTTATGTCCTGTATTTGCCCTTTTAGTTTGTACCATGAATTCGGGACCACCTTGTATAGTATACTTTAAGCTTATATATAGTATATTCAGAGTATATATGTAACGAAAATTGTAAGAGATATTGATTACAGAAAAATTTTTAAAAATTGATTTATGTCAGAAATAGAAAATACTTAAATTTGTAAAACCAACCATCTATTTTTCAAGAAAAAACATTAGTGGGCAAGAAACGTATTAATATAGTATTATGCAGTTTAAATTTAAAAGCATATTTCTATTAGGAACCATACACATTCTACTGATTTTTCGAAATATGATTTAAACTAAATGGTCAAACGTGATATTTCGTATAAGCATGGTATATTTAAAATACTCAAAATTTACCTAGTTTAATCAAGTGCATACATTAGTTTAATTATCATCCCATACTTTTCATTAAATAGGTTTTAAGAAACAAATACTTTTAAAATTTCATATTTGTTGATATATTAATATCAATATCTTTCTTTAATAAAGCATGTCTAAAAAATGATGAAATAATTCAAAAAGATTCCAACACTTTGAAGGGAAATTGTTTTGGTATCTTAAGAATCATAGATCATTTTTTGAAGAAATTTCTTTTATACACTTAGCATGATAAACAACTTTCAATTCTTTTTAGCGGCCACCAACTCCATGGCGTGCCATCATCTTATCCGTTCCGACCTATGCATTAATCATTGCATTGTTTGGACAATACTGGATGGCATTTTATTTCTTGAGTGTTCATCCCACCTACATGGGAACAATTCTCAATATACCCATTAAGGAGGTAAGTAGCACTATGACGAATGTAAATTTAATAAGAGTATGGAATAAAAAAGGATGCAACTATAGAAGGAATAGTTTCACCACCAGGTTTAGGATTCGATTCACAACTAGAGAAGAAGAGTAGTTGAAATCATAATAAGATTTATGTAAATTTTATAAATTAGTGATAAGTCATTTATAGTTTAAGATAGTTATTAATTTTACGATGAGAAACTATGAAAAATTTCGGAATTTTTCACTTATTCTCCAGAAAGTATTTCAGCAGCCCCATTGATTACATACACTAACGAAAATACCGTGAAGAACTCTAAAGAATACTATTTATTTTAAGAAACGATTTTTTTTTTGCTTTTCAAAATACTTCTGCGATTTCAACGTTGCAATATTCGTAGAAATTTATGAAATTAGTTTGTACCTGAAAAATATGACTAAAGTCACTTATCTAAAACGGATATTTGACGTTTTTACTTGTTTGGAAACCAGGAATTTATGTACATTTTGAATTATATGCGTACAAGGAATTTTCTGAGCGCATAATACCTTTCCGAGTTCTCAGTATAAAAGATGTGTGACAATCTTTTCGACATGATTTGTTTGTATATTTAAGTATTTCAGGAAATAATTTAGTATACAAAGTATGATTATATCAAAAACAATTTGTACTGTTTGAGTTATTTAAATTGCGAAAATATTTCACAAAAATTATAATGAAATTAATTGATTAGTATTATTAGGGATAATTAAATAATTTAGTTTACAGAAGGATAATTAAATTAAGAAACATTGTATTGCTTGAATTGTATAAGTTGCATAAATAATTTATAAATTATTAAAATAAAATTCATTGATATATATTGAAGGGTGTTAAAGTTAAGTTTAGAAAACAACCGCAGGTAAATTAGAAAAGAAAATTTTTTTAATTTCTGTAATTGTTTTCCTGAGCACCGTATTGTGAAGAAATAAAAAAAATTCTTTGGTTGCATCTAGCTATTATATTTCTTCCTTAGTGAAGAAAAAAAATTAGCTTGAAAAATATTCCTATTCTTAGTTCATTTTCCACGAAAAAAAAAAAGAAAAATTCTAATATTTTATTTGATTATAAATTGAAAAAATATATATTGCTAATGTATAATGAATTGAATTAAAGAAAACAATGAATTGAAATGTGTTTCTTGGGAAAATTCTTTTGTTTGACGTTTTGTAATATAAGCCCAGAAGACACGTTAATAAAATTATAAAACTCTTCTTTTTTATGCTATCTATTCTATGCGATCTATTCTATGCAAACCAGTTTTGACCAGATTTTTGAAAAGTAAAGCATAACTTATAACGTACTCATTTCAGTTCTTTTTTTTTTTTTTGTAAATTTTTGTTATTTCTTAATTTTTTAATTTTTTATTTTACATTATCCGCTTAAATGGGCAAATTTTGAAAGGAAATAAAACTGGACATATTTTTTTTCTTGAACTTTGACTTTGAAACACACGAATTGTACTTTATCTTTACAATTATAATAGGGTTACAAAAGTTTCAGGTTTTTAAATGAAAATTTTTTGAATAAATCTCTATTTTTCAAACTTTTAGAACCAACAATTTAACTTCAAATTTTCAGTCAGATATCTTCAATTCTCTTTTTTCTTGTTTTCCAATTTTTTTTAAAATCAATTTAAATAATTTTTATATTTTTAGAATGGTATTTTATCTTCGGGCCCACATCTAACCCAAGCCATTGCAGGATTTTGTGCTTGTTGGTTATCTTTCTGGCTGAATCGAAATGATACTTCGAAAGTCAACTTAGTCAGAAAAGGATGCAACAGCATAAGTGAGTTAAGAAGTTTTTAATATAGCATTTAAATTTTAATATTAATGAATATTTTAGATTTATATTTATTTCTAAAGATATTATATGAAATTAATTATTATATTTATTAATTTTAAAAGCTGCTCGCAACACTTATACTGTGTATTGGAAGGGGTTCATAGCTGAAAGGACCACTTGTGATTAGTAGGACTGGTTTCACAAAGCAAATTTTGACCTCTACCAAATTTTGCACAAAAATTTGTACCAAACAGCAAATATAAGTGTCAGAGACAATGGAATACTCTCAGTTTCCTCACTTTTGAAAACTCGGCAGGAACTGCTAATCTAATACATAATACAGAATGTTTTTAATTTGCTGATTTAAAATTATTTTAATATTCTAAAGTGAAGCCGCAGTGGCTCAGGGTATACAGCATTCGTTTCCAAATGAGGTGAACTGGGTTTGAATCCCAGCCGTGGTTGATTGATGCGAATTCTTTTCCCGGCTCACGGCGACAACAGTGCTGACGCAAAAATAAACTGAGTGGTAGCCGTATCATGAGTTAAAATCTTCTTGCCATCGGGTTAACCGTGGGAGGTTTTTGTGATTTTTCTCTCATTTTAAACAAAATGCGTTTCCATCCAAAAGTTCTTCACGAAAACTAGTTTGTCTCAATGTTTGATTAGAAGTTCCCTTGTCTTCTTGGTTGGATTCGAAATTACAAAGCTACGGATCAATGATAGTCGTAAACTCATAATTGGGTAGGATGTTTAACGTCGGTCATAAGAATAAAAATAAAGTAAAATATTCAAAAGTGAGGTTATTTAAAATGTTATTAAAATTTTTAAAAACATATAATTTTTAAACTAATTCTCTGTATTATATTTTGCCATCAGCGTTTTCGGATAGTGACCTGAGCTATTCGAAATTTTCGCTCAGTCATATGTGTTTATTTATGTGCTTATATTGTGCTTACATTTACATGCTACAATTCAGTTTATAGTACAATCTGTTATGCAAAGTTCGAATTAAAGCATTAGCCAAGAACAGAAACTTTATATTTTAATACTTGGTAAGTGATTTATACATATTTTAATATGCCATCACGAAGTTAAATTAATGTTAAAATTGTCAAATGCTTAAATTTAAAAATTTAAAAACAATATAATCTTAAAACTATTAAGTTATATAATTAAAATTATTAATATTTTTCTATTTTACATCAGTTGCGAAAATTTCGATTATTGAAAATGAAAGTTTGGGCAAACAATTTTGCTCAGAACTTAAATTTTGAGGATTGCTTAACAAATTATTTAGTTGAAAAAATGCCGCTAAGGATATAAAAAAAATATCTCCAACGATAACTCACAAAAGTTCTATTTCAAATAATAAATTATTTTAATGCAAAATACTTGTAAAGTGAAGAATGTTTCAGTTTATTATTTAAAACAATGTAATTTTCATTCTAATTTTAGTTTATTTTTTTAAATATAGCCTTTTTAAAACGCAAATAAGAAAATTTTCCGATTAAGGACGAAAGACTTGAAATAAAGTAACCTTTTATGGAAGGAGTGAGAATAGAAGTAAAGAATGAGCGGAATGAATTAAACTTGGTGGCGTAATTAAGGTAAAATTCGACATGGACAAAATAATTTTTTTTTTTTGATTTCAAAATCTAAAAAAGAAAACTACCTGTAATAAAATAGTCAGCCCATTTGGCAACCGATACTTTGAGAACTTTCCTTATTGGAGTATTTTTTTAAAATTTTGTACAAATTAATTTAACTATTTTTTCTTATTCAATAGGCTGTTTTGCTTTTGCACTGGGAATGATCGGTGTATATTTTTCTGGCTGTAATACTACGTGGAATGAAATATGCCTATTTATTGCTACGGCGGCTGTTGGATTCGGCTTTGCTGGAAGCCTAATCGTTGCTGTTGATATGTCTCCAACGTTTTGCGGTAAGAAATTCATTTAAAATTCTTTAAATTTTGAATTTGATATTATCCTCCTTGACGAGATAGCAACGGTTTTCCAATTTTTACAGTTCTGTACTAGAAAGTCCTTATCTACAGAATCAGGCTATCTGAGTTGGGGCCTTTTCCTTGGTCGATTCCCAGATGGCCTAGTCATAAATATCCTTTTAGATGCACATTAAACTGGTGACTATATTAGAACCGTTGATATAATAAATTCAATTTTTTAAAAATTTTAATGCTTAAAGTAATATAAATTAAGTCATAAAATGCCCTTTTTTAATTAAACAGTAACACATAAAAAGTAATCAATATATCGGGTTTTGCAAAATTTGATGATATTATTTCTCCACATGATATAAAAAGATAATGAACCAAAACCATTTCTCATTTTTGACACTGCATTCTCATTGGACAGAAAAATCATATGTCATGGTCCTTAACTAGTGACAAACATCCGTAAGTCTCATACTATCATTAATTAAAAATTAAAGAAACTTATAATGTACTTCTATATAATTTTTTTTACTTATTTCTTGTTTAACCATATTTTTATTGTTTATTATTTCGTCAGATTGATATTTAATAAACATTTATTTCAGTTAAATTCTATTTTTAATTGTTATAATATTGATATTACTTTCATTTGTCATTTTAGCTGTTTTTATTAAGATGGAAGTAACAATCATATCACTATCCTCAAAACAACAATCTTATTCAAAAATAAAGACCTAAAGTTGCGTTCTGAGATTATGTAACAAAGTTATTTTGTAATACTGCCGTATTACTCAACATTTTATGATTAATGATATTGAACCTTCCTTTTAAGACAGCCTTGTATTTAGCTTATTGAAAAGTTATATTTGTCTTTATAATATACTTTATCTAAAATAGAATACAGTCAGTACATTCAAATAAAGTATTATTTAAAATTTCAAAAAAATATTCGAGTTATATTTTTGCATTACTTCTAAATAGGCTTTTAGGCAATTTTTGAGGCTATGTGCTTTATAGTGAAGAAAATAAGATGAAAATTATAAAGCATTTAAGTAAAAGGAGTTACTTTGTCAAAGAAATGTGTAATCAAGCGTTTATTTACCGTAGAATTTGACGGAAAAGCCCATTTCTCAAGTTAAACGTTAAAGTTCTGGAAATCTACGATTCCAAATTAGTGTATAATGGTAGAATACCAGAAAGTTTTTACGGGCAGAGTCTGTTAATACACGAAACGAAGGATGTTACAATCCGCAACCAATACATTTTTTCACTGTCAACCTTCAAATCAAGGCTGTTAGCAACGTCATGAGAGATAAACTTCATTTCTTGTGTAAAAATCACGACTACTATTGGGCTTTGCCCCCTTTTTTCTGACGCTTGCTAACTCCTAAGATTGCTAAGTGATATACTTTGAAAAACCAAGCTAGCATCACCCACTACTTTGAGGGACCCATTTAAACTGAGAATAGATATAAAATCTAAATTACTATAGCATCAATAAAACACTAAAATTTAATGAAATCTAAGGAAGAAATACTAATATAAACAATAATGTTAGAAACTCCTTTAAAAACTTTATCAATTACATGCCAAAGAAATGCTTGCAGACGCACAACAACAGAAACGATTGCAGAAACTGCATTGTAACAGAAATATTTTTAAAAATAATTGAGAAATTAAAAATATCGGCAAGTAAAAACCCTTACTGAAAATTACTCTTTTTTGGAAACACAATTAATATATTCCAGGATATGGATCTGTCACTGTAAGCCTGTCTAATCTTGACCGTAATCGTCTTTCAGAGTTATGTCTTTCATATTTGTCATCAATACTTTATTCTGATGCTTCAAGGCTCTTTTTTATTATAAGTAAATAGCATAGAAACTCGACTGGCATTGATTTTTCATTTCTAATTTAAAATTCATTCATAGTTGTAATTGAAAAATCAAAAAAGAAGAGCGTCTTAAATGGTATATTAGTGAGTTTTTAAAAATCAGTATAGAAGCATCAGGAGGCTGCTTCTATACTGATTTTTGTAATACTGAAATATGTTTTTGCTATACTATGGTATGCTATAACAATCATCAAGCATGTTTCTGAACATGTTGAATCCAAGATGACGAATGTTATCATAGAGCCGTGGTGGCTAAGGGGATAGAGCATTCGCCTTCCAATGAGGTGAACTGGGTTCGAATCCCGGTATGACTGGTCGATACGAATTCCTCACCCGGCTCACACCAACCACAGTGCTAACGTAAAATATCCTCAGTGGTAAATGGATCATGGGTTAGAGTTCCCTTATCGTCACTAGCAGTGGGGGTTTTTCGCTGTTTTTCTCTCTTTGTAATGGAAAAGCGGATTAGTTTCACTGAAAAGTCCTGTTCGAAAACAAATTTCTCTCAATAGTTGATCCAGGAGTTCCCTTGTCTTTGGGTCCAAAGCTACGTACTTGAGCATTAGCAGTCGTATACCCAAAATTAGGTCACCTGTTCAACGGCGTTTATAAAATAAAATAAAATGCTATTTATAACCTAACAGAACTATCTAAAATTAGTTCTAACACGTGCTGTCATAGCATTGTCTACAAATCATTGTTTAAAACTTACCTTAATGAAAAAACTCAGCGCAGGGAAGTCACGTCATTAGGGAGGTTAAAGCAATCAAATTTATGAAATAAAATGTTATTCAGAACCTAGCAGAACTATTTAAAATTAGTACTAACAAGTGTTATCATGTTATTACTAATGTCTCCAAGAAGCAAAACTGATTGAGAAGCAATCGGGAGGGGGGGGGGGTAAGCGTGAAATCCCCAACGAGCAGATGTGAAATTTCCCTTGTCCGCACAATTAACTTATATTAAATATTATTCAATAACATTTAATCTACTGTTTCCGACTCACTTTTTAAACTGTTTCCAATAGAATTAAAATTTAAGTTAGGAAAAAAACCTGGTAGACGATATTTAGAAAACATTTTAGTGAATTTAGAATAGTTTTATGAACTATATTTTATTTATTCTATTTTAATATTAATTTTTGAATTTTGACAATTCCTTATAATTTGCAGTTTTTATAGAAAGACTAAGTACTTGAAATTTTTTTTAAAAAATACTCTTTTTTCTTATCTGATAGATCACGAAACTTAGTTGGTGTAACTAATTTTTAAATAAATGGAGGAAATTAGCTTTTTTTCTACCAGAATTAAATGATTAATTTTTTGCTCATTATTATACGGGTTTTTATTGCCTCTGATATTATTGTACTGTTTTCAATGAATATTGTATAATTCTGATATTAATTAATAAATACTGACTTCTTATTTGTGTTTTAAAGGTGTAGTGATGGGTCTGGCGAGTACTGTTGCTAGTTTAGCAGGATTCATTGTTCCTGTACTTGTTGGAAAACTTACCAAAGAAGAGGTACATTTTTTTAAAATTTTATCAGCAATATTTTTTTTAAACTTTTCAAATTAAACGAAGTGAAAATTGTGATTTTCTATACAAATTTAAAACAGAAATTTAGTATCGATCTGAAAAAATTCCATGCCCAGCAACAATAATTTAACCTAACTAATAGTTGAAACTCTAAGTTTTTTTTGTTTTTTTTTTGAAAAAAACTTGAAGCACATAAAACTTTTAAAGACATAAAGAATGAAATAAAACTTACTTTTTCCAATTTTTCTTATGATTTTTTAGGATAAGGAATATGAGTTTCCAAGATTTATTCTATTTTTTTAATCACCCTAGAGTAGATGTATTGTAAATGATTACTAAATAACTACGTAATATTATTTATAGACAAAATATTTATTACAGTGTTACTATTGACTGTTATTGGAATGTTATGACTTTCACGTATTTTTAAAAATAGCTATAACAATAGATAATTAAAATTTTTAATACACTAAATTCGAGCAGTTTATTTTATGATATTTTCTAAACGTGGTTTTTCTAATATTTTAGCAAACTATGGCACAACGGCACAAAATGTTCCTTATCACCGCTTTTGTGGGTACCGTTACAGTGTTATTATTGATTGTTATTGGAATGTTACAACGCTCATATGTTTTTAGAAATAGTTTATAACAATAAATAGTTAAAATTTTTAACACACTAAATTAGGGCAGTTTATTTTATGATATTTTCTAACCGTGGTTTTTCTAATATTTTAGCAAACTATGGCACAATGGCACAAAATGTTCCTTATCACCGCCTTTGTGGGTACCGTTACAGTGTTATTATTGATTGTTATTGGAATGTTACAACGCTCATATGTTTTTAGAAATAGTTATAACAATAGATAGCTAAAAGTTTTTAACACACTAAATTAGGGCAGTTTATTTTATGATATTTTCTAACCGTGGTTTTTCTAATATTTTAGGGCAGTTTATTAATAGGGCAGTTTATTTTAGAAATAGTTATAACAATAGATAGTTAAAAGTTTTTAACACACTAAATTAGGGCAGTTTATTTTATGATATTTTCTAACCGTGATTTTTCTAATATTTTAGCAAACTATGGCACAATGGTACAAAATGGTCCTTATCACCGCCTTTGAGGGTACCGTTAGAGTGTTATTATTGATTGTTATTGGAATGTTATAACGCTCATATGTTTTTAAAAATAGTTATAACAATAGATAGTTAAAATTTTAACACACTAAATTAGGGCAGTTATTTTATGATATTTTCTAAAAGTGGGTTTTCTAATATTTTAGCAAACTATGGCACAATGGCACAAAATGTTCCTTATCACTGCCTTTGTGGGGGCCGTGAGTGGAATTGTTTTCCTTCTCTTTGGCTCAACAGATGCTCAGTCTTACGATCCAAGTTATTCTAAAGACGAAAACATGAATAATCCATCCAAGCAAGATGCTAAACCCAAAGATGAAATATCTTCTAATCTTTGACGACATATATTAATAGTCCTGGTGTAAATGATGCACATCAATAACAGATCTCGTATCAAATATTTCATTTTGTGAAGAAATTGTTTTTTACCGTCGTTTTTGTATAGTGTATATGTTTTTATTTATTGCTCTTAGGAAACTTTTTGTGTTTTTGTAATAAAGTATTACTTTTTTTTAAAGCTAAATTCCATATTGTGTTTTTTAGCTCTGATAATTAAGAACTAAGTATATTAAGGGGGTAAAAAACATTTTCAGAATAGTGGTAATCAGTGTAAGAAGAACAAAATGGTATCTCAACCATTTTATTACACATTTATTAGAAGAAGGAACTAATAGCTATTTACCTATTACTTTAATTATGCCTACTACTTAGTTAAAGCATCCAATCAACTTAAAACTAGCGTGGATTAATTAGGCTAAAATTTAAATGCAAGCAAAAACAATTCTGTTACACATAACCATATGGATTAGACTTGTTTATGCTGTTTTTCCTGTATAATAAGTACTCTAGAATATGTCACTTACCTGCTCCTTCTTCTTCTTTAAGCTCTTCAATTATGTACTACAAAACAGAAATTACAAACGTAATTTGTATAAAACAAATTTTATTTGTACTACTCAAATGCATGAAGAGATGTCGCTGGATTTTGACAGGTCGTAGACCAAGCATTTCACACAGATGTTTTAGTTCTCTCTTTTTTTTTCATACACTGCAAAAATTCCGGATCATATTACGGTAAAAAGTATCGGTAGCAGTACTTTTTACTGTAAAATTTTTCGGAAAAAAAAATCTTATACATTAAATTTTTTAAATAGTACTATTTACTGTAAAATAAAATAACTGAATCGCTGAATTAAAGAAATATAACTGTAAATATTACGGTATAAAGTTTTACATTTTATGAATGCTGCACTCAGGAAGCCAGTACTTTTTTTACACTAGTTTAATCCGGAATCCAATTTTTTTTACACTAAAAGAGTTTCAATGTTTTTTTCTTATTTTTTATTTTAATCCTTGGAAAAGAGAGCTTAAACAATTTTTGTTTATTTTTCTTCCTTAAAGTTTTAATTTTATTTACAGATTTTGAATTATCTATTAGTTTTTTTAGTGATATATTACATATGAAACATTGAGAATTTTAAGAACCTTCTCTAAGTAAACACGTGAAAATGTTTAAATATATCATATTTTCGAATTTCATGAATTTGATTAAGATAATTAGAAAAGCGGAAATAATTGTTTTGTCGAAGCCATGCTTTATTAATTCCATCTATATTATAGATAGATGCGATATCAACTAATAGAGGCATGTAATCTACATACTTGCGATAGAAAACAAAGCTTTTGTTCTTTCAATACCAAAATTAAATTTTCAAAAAATTGAAATTTTTATAATTGTTACATATTCTTTTAGAAAATTCCAGAGCTTTCATTTCAGAAACAAAATTTTTACGAAAAATATTCGAGTTTAAGATAATATCAACAATTTAGTAGGTGAACAGCAAGGTGCATGAGTTACACCTCATTGGAACTGCACAATGAGTTATTCGTGACGGTCTGGGAAACATCTCTGAGAATGCTCCGAAGACACGTCATCATAATTTGGATCCTCTGCGGAGGGGATGGCTACTCCGCGTCCGTAGCACGCAAAGTCGTGCCCGTTACGGTTGAACAGTTTAACGAGGACCGATATCGCTCAGGGTTATCATTGTGGTCACCTACCCGCTTGCTAGACGCACACTTTGATTCTTGTCTTCGGTTTCCTACTGAGAACCGTACCTTTATGATCAGTCCAATGCGTGAGCAATAATTTTGTGTTTTATCAAATATGGATTTTTATTTGTAACACTTATACTCGCGAAGTAACGAATATTTAAAAAAGAAAATATTAAAATTGATCCTTTGGTCAGATGGTTGATTAAGTTATTGATTTTTAGTCATGGCTAAAAAAGATTTAATTATCAAAGTTTTTTTATCTATAACAATAATAACAATTTTTGTAATTTAAATTTTAGTTCGCAGCAATGAATGGGATTTCTATTCGCAGTTCTATGAATATTTCTTTTATGAAAACTATATGATAATATTTAGTTAGCAGATATTAAACTAGCTAATATCTAGCTTTGCATGATAATATTTAGCAAAGAGCTAATTTCTCGGTGGGTAAATTAGTGCGCATTTACTAACTAATTTATCACAACTTATAATGTAGCCAAGACAAGAGTTTATCACACTTGGCCTAGCCATTAAGTCAAACATTTATCGTAGTTTAGTTACCTGATTCAAAGTCTTCTCTTAGAAACTGCTTTTCAACTATATCACTCAAATGAAATTATTTTCCTTTTATTATAACTATCATATTTGTTTTTATTGATCACGATAAAGATTTGTCCAATTTTTACAACGCTTTTAGTTATTAATTTTAATGGAAAAATTTTATTTTATGTTTGTATAATAATAATTTGCGAGAGACACGGCACTATGCGAAATTTGAGAGATCTATTTTTTTAAAAAATTAATTCGATTTGCGAAACTCAAACATTCCATCACTGTTTTGAAATTTATTACGTGCTGCCAATTTATGTCTTTCTTTTCATTTTATGTTTGCTCAATAAGATTGGGATTGTCAATAGCAGTTCTTTGTAAAATAATTTTGCACTTGATTTTAATTTACCAGATAATTTTTACGTTAACATCCAGATATTAGCGTACCTAGTAACCTATAGTAATGGATGGTGATAGACGTAAGTAAGATGTATATTTTTTTAAGTCATAGTAAAATAACGACTCTTCTGTCTTTATAAATTGGAATTACGGTTAATTTGAAAAAAATCGGTCCAATTGTCCTATATATATCATAGTATTGTTATTGCTATTGTTGTTAATTTACGTCGCACTAGAGCTGCACAATGGGCTAATGGCGACGGTCTGGGAAACATCCCGGAGGATGATCCGAAGACATGCCATCACAATTTTGATCCTCTGCGGAGGGGATGAAACCCCCGCTTCGGTAGCCCGACGACCTGCGCGCGAAGTCGAGCACTTTACGGTAGCACAGTTTAACGAGGACCAATACCGCACACCCTCGGTCCCTACGCAGACTGATCCAAGTGGTCACCCACACGCACTCTGACCGCAGCCAGTGATGCTTGACTTCGGTGATCTGCTGGGAACCATGTCTTAACGATCAGTCCACTAAGGAACATATATCATAGTAAAACTATATATATATATATATTAAAAATTTCTCAGGAACTATTGGGCCAATTTTGTTCAAATTTTGTGTTTTGCCATATAAATGTACATTTTTAAAAATAATGCAAAAAAATTGTACACTTTGTTCTGAAATTTTTGAACTATTATTAAGCAAAACAAAAAATTTATATGAAAATAGTTTTTTTGCAAGTATTTGTCTTTCGATAAACGAGTTTTATAATTGTGTAGAAAAATTTTTCAATTCTATAAAAAAGTTCTCAAGGTATATTGAAATACGCAATGAGTTAAATTAATTTTGACTTTGGACAACTCTACTGACCAAATCAAATGGGACCATATTTCGCAGATTGCAGATATCCCTTATATTTCAGGAGTCAAAAATCTAAATCCAAAGAAGAAAAAGGTATATATATATATATATATATA